CATCATCATCATCATCATCATCATCATCATCATCATCATCATCATCATCATCATCATCATCATCATCATCATCATCATCATCATCTCATCCGCATCCTCATCCTCATCCTCATGCTCATCCTCATCCTCATCCTCATCCTCATCCTCATGCTCATCCTCATCCTCATCATCATCATCATCATCATCATCATACTCATTATCATCATCATCAGCATCGTCATCATCAGCATCAGCATCAGCATCATAATCATCATCCTCATCATCATCATCATCATCATCATCATCATCATCATTTTCATCATCATCATCGACAGCAGCAGCATCATAATCATCATCATAATCATCATCATCATAAGCATCATCATCATCGTCGTCAGCATAATCATCATCATCATCATCATCAGCAGCAGCAGCAGCAGCATCGTCATCATCATCAGCAGCATCATCATCACCATCATCAGCAGCATCATCATCCTCCTCATCATCATCACCACAATCACCATCACCATCACCGTCACCATCGTCATCACCACCATCATCATCACCATCACCATCACCATCACCATCACCATCACCATCATCATCACCATCATCCTCCTCCTCCTCTTCAGCCTCCTCCTCCTCATCCGCCTCCTCCTCATCATCATCACCATCATCATCATCATCATCCTTCTCCTTCTTCTTCTCCTCCTCCTCCCTTACCATCATCATCATCATCATCAGCATCATCATCATCATCACCATCATCATAATCATCATCATCATTGGCATCAGTGTCCTCACCATCATCATCATCAACAACATCATCCTCATCCTCATCATCATCATCATCAGAATCAGCATCATCATAGTCGTAATCAGCATCACCATCAGCATCATCATCATCACCACAATCACCATCACCATCAGCATCACCATCACCATCACCTTTCTCATCATCATCCTCACCCTCAGATTCCTCAACCTCCCTCTCCTCATCCTCAACAAATCATCATCAACAGCAGCATCATCAGCATCATCTGCATCATTATCATCATCATCGACATCGTCATCATCATCATCATCATCATCACACTCATCATCTCCACCATCATCATATTCAGCATCATCATGATCATCCTCATCCTCATCCTCATCATCATCCTCATCACCATCACCCCAATCATCATCATCATCATCATCATCATCATCATCATCATCATCATCATCATCATCATCATCATCCTCATCATCATCATCATCAGCATCATCATCATCATCCGCATCCTCAGAATCATCGTCATCAAGATCATCGACATCATCTTCACCATCACCATCACCATCACCATCACCATCATTATCCGCCGTCTCCCCCATCCTCATCATCATCAGTACCCCCATCATCATCATCATCATCATCATCATCATCATCATCGTCGTCATCATCAGCAGCAGCATTATCATGATCATCACCATCACCATCACCATCACTATGACCATCATCATCACCACCATCGTCATCAGCATCAGCATCGTCATCAGCATCATCATCGTCACTATCATCACATCATCATCGCCACCGCCAGCATCATCATTACCACCAGCACCAACGTCATCATCATCACCATCATCATCATCATCATCATCATCATCATCATCATCATCGTTATCTTAATCGTCATCATCATCATCATGATCACCATCAGTATCATCATCATCGTCGTCGTCATCGTGAACGTCCTCGTCGTCGTCATCGTCATCGTCATCATCATCGTCATCGTCATCATCATCGTAAGCAACGTCATCGACATCATCACGATCAGCATCAGCACCAGCATCATCATCAGTATGATTACCATCATCAGCAGCATAAGCAAAATCATCACCATCGTCGTCATAACCCTCCTTATCATCATCATCATCATCATCATCATCAGCAGCAGCAGCAGCAGCAGCAGCAGCAGCATCACCAGCAGCAGCAGCAACGTTACCATCCCCATCCTCTCCCACCTCCTCCCCCTTTTCCCCTTCTGCCGCTGCTCCTCCTCCTCCTCCTCCTCCGATTCATCTTCCATTCCTTGTCCTTGTGAAGTGAATGACTCCTCCTGTCGCACACGAGGCCAGTCGGAAGGGCGGGCCGGGCGTTTCGCCTGAGACTTCCGTACCACTTATGAGCCTGAAGCTTGGAAACTGACAATAGTTTCACAGGTGGAGGGCGGGTCGCTTCCCAATTGTGGCTTTCGCCGTAGCGCCGCACACTCTCGTGGTTTAAAAAACGCATCAGTTTCACGGATTGAGAGCGGGTCATTTTCAAAAACCCACCCGCCCTCTGGGCGTGGGTGGTCTAGAGAGGTTCCTCTTCCAACCCACTTCTTCCCCTTCGGGGAGGGGTTTATCACTATCCTCTTTCAATATACACCCCCTCCCCCAGGCGACCAGCGGCCAACCAGGAACAACGAGGACGCCCATGAGGGCCCCCCCCCACCATCCTTGTCAAAAAAAATACAGAGCACACTTGAGGACAAAGTCTGGAGTCATGTTCGTGAGGCCCGCGAGCACTTTGTATTGTTTTTTGACAGGCACGGCGGGGGTGTCAGCAGATTGCCTGCTGCGCGCAAGGCTACCATCCCTGACCAACAACAATAGAAATGCACCTCGCGGCTGCATCTGGATCATGGGCAGCCACCCCGCGATCACTGCCAAGTGGTTTTTGACAGGGACGGATGGGGTGGTGGCGTATGGCCTGCTGTGCGCAGGCCCACCAGACATAATGATGGGCACTGGTTTTCGACGACGATGGTGGGGGCCGACATGTTTCCCGATGTGTGCTGTCACGCGCAAGGGCGCACCTGACGCACTCTGCATGTGCCCCGAACGTGGCGCACCTGGTGCGGCTGGAATATGCGGCACACCTGGCGCACGCGGAGGCACGTAGCGCATCTGGCGCACCAGGCGTGCCTGGCACGCTCGGGCCCCAGGGGTGCGTGGCGCGCGTGGCGCGTCTGGCACGCGTGGCGCACCTCGCCCCAGCGTCGCGCACATGGGCTCGCTTTGGTTTCCAGTAGCTGCCCATCCAAAGACGACCGCTGAGCATGCTGAGGCTCGGGTGTTACTCATGTGTTGGGAGGGCGGGTGGGAGTGAGCTGGACGGCTTGCTATCTAGGAGGGGTTCTTGAGCACGGTTCCCTATTAATAGACACCCCCTCCCCCAGGCGACTGGGAGCCAACCAGGAACAATGCGGGCACCCCCCCACCATCCCTTGTAGAAAAAATACAAAACACACTCTGCCTCTAAATTCGTAGCATGCGCAGCCAACCCGATGCGGCCTCCCCCCACCATCCTTGTCAAAATTACGCTACCGAGGAACCCCACATACTTCGTTTAATAACTTGTGTTCACACGGCTGACGTGCAACATGTGGACAACGCTCGCAGCCGCTACCATGCTGCTACCGTCGAGAGACGCTCATAGTGGGACCACCCCCTGCGCACCCCATATGGCGTCGAGAAAGTGCCACGCCTGCTTTGTCTTGGACGTGAGGCGCGCTTACCGAGACCACGCCCTGCGCACCCCCTATGGGGCCGAGAGCATGCCACGCCTGCTGTGCCCTAGACGAGAGGCGCGCATAGCAGGACTCCCCTTGCGCACTCCCCATGAGGTCGAGAAAGTTCCACGCCTGCTGTGCCCTGGACGAGAGGCGCGCATACCGGGACCACCCCGTGCGCACCCCTTATGCCGATGGGGGCAAGAGAATGCCACGTTTGGTGTGCCCTGGACGAGAGGCGCGCATAGCGGAACCACCCCCTGCGCACCCCGCGCGGGGTCGAGAGCATGCCACGCCTGCTGTGCCCTGGACGAGAGGCGCGCATAGGGAGACCACCCCCTGCGCACCACCTATGGGGCCGAGAGCATGCCACACCTGCTGTGCCCTGGACGAGAGGCGCGCATAGGGAGACCACCCCCTGCGCACCCCCTTTTATGGGGCTGAAAGCATGCCACGCCTGCTGTGCCCTGGAGAGAGCGCGCAGAGGGAGACCACCCCCTGCGCACCCCCTT